CACTAATCCTGGCATCCTTGATAGCATTCTACCAGTCTAACCATCTCTCTTTTATACCTTCCTTCTAGATCTTATCTGGTGAGAACGCGGATGCCCTCGAACTGATGATGCTCTCGGAAATGGAGTCAATGCGTAGAAGCGCCGAGACAGGAGGAACTGGTGGTATCAGCGTGCCCTCTGATGGTCATCCCACTGCTATAGCTTTGAAATCCAAAGGTGCCAAGAAGTTCACCAGTCAGCAGCATCTCTTTCGCCATTTGGATAGGAAGTACAAGCGGTTAGTGAGCGAGTATGAACAGATGCAGACGAAACATCGGTTGGAGATGAAAGAGGTATGTTTTATGCTTTGACGATTCTATTTTTTTATTTTTTTTACAAAAGCTCTCGAGTACTGTTGCATCATAGGCGTTTTTGGCTCACGGAGAAAATCTGAGGAATTTCTTCCATCATTTTTAGGCTTTCAAAGCATTTCGTTGCACCAATCCTGTACTTGTAGTTCTTTGTACAATTGTCATTCCTGAGAGGCCAAGTAAGGCGATTTTTGGAGTGCCTTTTCATGAAATAACTTCAAGACTTTTACATCCTACTTCCAGATCCCCATTTAAGCAGAAAAAGTGGTTAATCTACCTTGACATTGACATTAATTTGTTTTAAGTGCAAACGCCTATGTAAGGAAAAGGCACGCATCCACGTTGTTCGAAAGCAGTCGTATGAACACAAACATCTTGCGTTTGTCGATTGTTAAGGCACGGAATTCTTCTACCCTGATCTGTTCCCAAATCAGGCAGGCGAGCGGGGATGCTGCTGCATTGTCCTGGTATTTCGATACCTCTCTCTCCCTCTTTCTCCTTTTTTGTTGGCGGTAGGTAACTGCGATCGAAAATGTATCTCCATGGTCTGTAGATGCAAGTTTTCGGACTTTTTACACCAAGTTATTTCAGTTTGCTTTGGATGTCTCTTGTCCGGCCTTTGAACTTACCGACAAAACAAAATAGTGTTTAGTAATGGTATGCAAAACCGAATTGTGAATCGGTGTTAGCATCTCATTTTCATACATTAAATGATGTGGGGATTTGTGCCCATCAACTTGAGCAGTTTGAACGACTTTTTGATTAGGCAACTGAGGACTTCTTCCCATCGCTCGTCTCATGAAAATAACGCTTTCTGGACACGATGACCTACCTAAGTATATTGTCTTAGATGTGTCATTTTCTGACACCTGTTAGACTGCTATTTAGCCACGTGAATGGAATCATCTTGTCGTTGTGTTAGCTGAATTGATCTCTTCCCCCCTTCTCCCCCTCCCCATTCC